AGGGAGATGGCTCAGTGGAATAAGTGCTTCCCTGGCAAGCGCAAGGGCCTGAGTTCAATCCCTGGTTCTGCAAAAAAAAAAAAAAAAAAAAAAAAGAAGAAGAAGAAGAAGAAGAAGAAGAAGAAGAAGAAGAAGAAGAAGAAGAAGAAAGAAGAAAAATAATCAGCCCTTTAAAATCCTTTCCCTTGCTAGGTATGGTGAGACATACTCGCCATCCCGGCACTCTGGAGGCTGAAGCAGGAGGATTGTAATTAGGTTGAGGCCATCCTGAGCTACATAGTGAATTCAAGGCCAGCGTGAATTACATAGCAAGACCCTGCCTAAAAAGAGAAACCAAACAACTTTAATCTTAAATTGGCCTCAAGTTCATAAAGGTGACATTCTGAGGACAGACACTGAGATTTACTATGTGCCTTTCATAGCTGCCTTATGTACTTTTGGAAAGGAAAGAGATAAAGAAAATTAAAAAAGAGAAAAGATGGGCACCAGGGTCATGTCACGGATGCTTCCCAAACTGGTGTAGTCCACACGTGCAGCCTGCCTCAAACCAGGGGCGCATCTCAGGTGCACCCCAAGCTGGGGTCATGCTGCATGTGCAACCTGTCCTCCCCTCCAGGGCAGACCAACCCAAGAGAGCAGCCCTGCTCAGCCATGCCCCAGCCAGAACTGCCCAGGGCGCCACCTCTGCTCTATTTTCTGTCATGTTCAGAACAAGTATATTTGTTCCTAGAACATGTCTATTCCAGCAACAGATCAGGGAAGCAAGAAGAGAAGTTGTACGCAACAACCCGGCTTTCCTCAGGAATCTACCCCAGAGATCTTCCTATCTGTAACATACGAGGAAAGCATAGAGGATCTTAGAAGTCTGCAAAGTTTATCTATCTACAGATCACATATCAACGAAAGCAGAGGCTGTGTGTCTCCCCACCCGCCCCCCCACCTTTCCCTGGTAACTAATACCAGAAAAATAAGGTAAAAGGCTTGAGTTTTCTGATGGATGAAATCCTGAGTGAAAGTGAGAAACAGAGAACAAAGCAACCGATTGTCTGAATCCATAGACATCACCAGGTCAGTGGACAGCATCAGCTATCACCTGACCGACCTCTGTCTTTCTAGGTGAAAAAGGACCCTCTGCAAGTAAAAAGGGAAGGAGCAAATCCATTTGTAGGTGAAAGGGAGTTGCTCAGGTCTGCTGTTTTGGAAGATGAAAAGAGAAGAGAAGAGGAAAAAAAAAAAAACAAAAAAAACTGGGGTTGTGTCCTGAAACTACAGATTCACTTAAAAATACAACTAATTTCCTTGTCTCCTTTCTGCCTACTTTTATGTCTTCTATCCTACCTTAAACTGATTCAGACTGTTTCCCTTTCATGGTCATTTGACTATGGGGAAGAAAGAACCAGAAGTTGTGTGGTGTGAGGTCCAGTGAGTAAGGTAGATGGGGAAACCCTGTCCTGCTGCTACAGCCGCCTTTCTGTTCCACGACACTTGGATAGCAGCATGTGCCATCTTTTTTTATCACACTTCCTAGAGCCACTCACAACAGAGGACTTTCAGAACTGCTTCAGAAAGTGGCAGTGACACAGGAAGTTAGGGTGTGGCTAAAACTGGCTGGGCAAAGAGGTATGACAAGATGGTGGAACACATGCGCAGCAGTTCGCAAAGCTCTGTACCTGGACTTCTCGCAGGAACTCAAGCAGGTTTTCTGAGGGTGGCCTAGACCCGCCTGCAGCCTGAGGACAGTGATACAAACGGCCAATCTGTATTGAATTTTGGCCACTGTGTTCTCTCTGGTATGGTGGCCATTTTTACTGTAGGGTGTGCTTCTTTTGCTACTTTTCCTTGGTCCACACTCATTCTGCAGAGCCTGTTTCTTCTGCTACCTTTAATAAAATTTTGTGCCACTTGTGCTTCTCTTAAGCCATTCTTTGCTCAGGACCGAAGGAACCTAGAAACCACCTCCAGAAGGAGACTCTAGCACCTCAAAACCCAGTAACAGCAAGAATGATGGAATGAGTGTGTTCCAAGTGAGAGGCAATATTTGGAGGGGGATTCATAGTGATGTATCTTTTACTGTAACAAATTTTTCGAGCGCTGGAGCACTCACCATATATTTGGGCCACAGATCAGATGCATGAACATTCCTGGCCCCTGGCCTCTTGAACGGGGCTTCCTCAGCTTAAGTTCACAAACCATTGCTCTGGGCGGCCCAGAAAGAGGTGGCAGAAACCAAGTCTGCCCCAGAAGCCTGCCTACAGAGAGGGTTGGGGATACTTGTCCAGCTGGGGTGTGCCCACTCTAGGACTGTCCCTAGGTTAAATGCCAGCAGCTACCAGGGTCTGTAGACCCCAAGGCACCAGTTCAGGCTGGGAGTTGGGATGCTTTCTGGAGACTCTTAAAAAGAAGGGAAAGGACCTCCACAAAGAGACAGTCTCTTTAAGAGGGTGTGATGGGCCCTGCTGCCAGCAGCAGCCCAGGGGTGAGATTACAGGGCGCCTCCTCCTTTCTAAGGAGCACACTAATTCCTCTTGAAAACCCTCCTGACAAACTTGTTCTAGGGAGTGGGACCAGGGTTGGTTTTTTTTTTTCCTTTCTGAACTTCAGCATTAGCTTTTTCTCTGGGCAAACTTGGCAGAATCAAACAATGAAAATAATCCTGTAATTGTCCCTACAGATGCACAGGAGGGGCTGCATCAGGTTCCTTTCCTGTGGAGCACTCACCCGCCTCTTCCCAGAGGCACAGGGCTTCTCTCAGGAAAAAAGGAGGAAAAGGAACTGAGATGCGAGCTCAACAAGATGGGTTTATTGCAGAATGAACCCAAGGGGAACCGGGTCTACTCTGGCACTAGAGACCAAAGCGCCTGCTCTTGTACAGGCTATGGGGTCTTTTGTAGGGTCATGGGGAGGGGGTGTGCAATGACGAAAGGGAGTGACCACCTGCCCAGAATAAGGTTTGAGAGAGCACAAGGGGTCATGGCAGCCCAAGGATGAGACTTGGGAAAGCACAGGGAGGAGTGGTGGCTACTATCAGTGGCAGGGCTGATTGACTGTGTTAGGCTCCCAGGTGCAGCTGCGCAGCTGCGCAGTGGGGGTGGGGAGCGCGAGGGGCCGATCTGATCCCGATGGGGGCAGCTGCTTCTTCAGTGTGTTGGAGGCCTTGAAAGCTGCCTCTGGAGGTGAAAGTTCTCTCTCAGCCCAAACATCAGCAAAATCCCTCTGGCAGCAATGCACCGAAGGCCACTTGAGAAGCTGCTTGAAAAATATTTCTGAAAATCAAACCTAGAGATAGCTGGCGGGGTCGCTTGCTGCTTCCTGATAGCAAGCCAGCCCTTGGCCTCGCTGGACGCTCTGTCTCCCACTTCATTTCTGCTTGCCTTAGGAGCAGTCCCTGTGCTCTCCTCTGACTCGTGGACTCCAAGAATTCATCTTTAGAATCAGAGAAAATAAAAATACCTTGAAAGATATTTTCTCCTTCGTTTGGTCCATTCAGTGCTCTAATCAGCTGTGAAAAAACAGGTAGTTATCCCATTTTATCGATGAGGAGCTGAGGTCCACAGAGAGGAATGATTTGCTGAGGGTCAAAAGCAGATTTCAGTGAAGCTCAAAGCTGTAGCTGTTAAGGTTCCAGGGTCACTGTTTGTTAAAAGCCATAATGTGGGGGCCGGGGAGATGGCTCAGTAGAATAAGCACTTCTCTGGCAAGCATAAGGGCCTGAGTTCAATCCCCAGTTTCACCAAAAAAAAAAAAAAAAAAGCCATACTATGCAGTCAGTCCTCCAAAGCCCTGAATTCTGCACACGCAGATTCAACCAACTGCAAGTTCAAAATATTTGGGAAAAGAAATTCATCTGTACCAAATATGTACAATCTTTTCCCTTGTTATTATTCCCTAAGCAGTACAGCGTAATAGCTATTTATGTACCATTTTCATTGAATTCTTTTTTTGTTTGTCTTTTGAAGCAGGTTCTCACCATACATTCCAAGCTGGCCTTGAACTTGCTTATGTAGCCCAGGCTGGCCTTAAACTCACAGTGATTCTCCTGCCTCAGCCAGTGCTGGGATTACAGGTGTGTCCCACCATGCCTGGCTGAATTAGGTATTATAAGTCATCTAGTGATGATTTAAAGGATATAGGGACATATGGAGGGTCTATGCAAGTACTGGATCAGTTGATATAAGTGATTTGAGCATTCTTGGATTTTTATTTTATTTTATTTTATTTTAGTAACCAGGGATTCAACTAACGCCCTTGCACTTGCCAGGCAAATGCTTATTCTACTAAGCTATCTCCCAGGCCCTGCATTCTTAGATTTTGGTACTCACAGGGCATCCTGGTAGTAATCCTCCAAGAATACCAGGGGAGGAGGATGTATGAACATTATAACTAACTAAAAGCATTAAAGAGTCTAACTCTTCTCACTATAAACCATCTACCTATGACTATTTATAGAGTCATATTCTTTTTCTGGAAAGGATCCCTACTAGGCAGAGGGCCCCCTAAAGTCTGCTTGCTCCTCCTAGGGTCCCTTAGGAGGTAAGAGAACCCCTGCTTCCTCCTCTGCCCCACTGCCCTCCTGGCTGGTTGTCTCTGAGTCAAAGAGGAAATGATAGTATAACTATTCCTATGTCATATCATACTTTTTTAAATAATCCTCTACTCTCTGTTAAAGGCAATTAGACGCTCATGTTATGAAAGGTGTGTATCACACGGGTGTGTTCAGCTCACTGAAAGGGAAATTTACACCAGAGATGGAATTAAGTCCTCACACAGTCCCCAATGATGGGGATTATAGTTCTCACATTACACATGAAGAAATGGAGACTCTGTTCTACCCTGGTATGCAGACTACCCAGCAGATTTCATAGATGGATGGGCTGCCTGAAAAGGTGGCAAGCTCCCTGTCAAAACTGGATAGGGATTTGGGGAGGAGAGAGCTTGGGAATCCTGGAGGAGCGTGAAAGCAGCTCGGACATTTGGAGCAGGTGGCTGTCACTGCAGAAGCTTTTCTGGACCGTACTCCCACCCTTCCCCGTGGTAGGCTCCCACACTTCCCTGTCCGTGTTCCTGTGCTCACAGGGGCACCTGGAAGCCTTGTGCCAGCTCCAGATCAGCCTTTTCGAACTTACTTTGTAGCCCAGGTTGGCCTCAAATTCAACAATCCTCCTGCCTCAGCTTCTCCAGTGCTGGGATTATGGGGGTGAGCCACAATACCCAGTTTGGCCTTTTTGTTTATTTTTTGTCTTCTGCGGCCTTTTTGTTTGTTTTTTGTCTTCTGTGATACTGGGGATTGAACCCAGGATGAGGACTAAGCTATATCCCCAGCTCCCTGCTACCTTTCGAATTTTTTTAATTTTGAGATAGTGTCTTTCTAAATTGCCCAGCTTGGGCAATTTAGAATTTATGATCCTTTTATCTCAGTCTCCCAGAGTGCCAGGGTTACTGGCATGCAGCGCACACTGGCTGAAATTTGGCATTTGTAATAAACCACCAGGTGGTGCAGATGTTCTTAATCCAAAGACCATGATTTGAGAATCACTGAACTAGACTAGTAGATGCCCAAATGTGAGTCTGCCTGGAGACGAAAGGCCCTGGAAAGCCAGGAACCAGCTCCTCTCCACTTCCATTTCTAAGTGACTGCTCAGGAGCTCCTAACAGGGGCTTAGTGACATCAGAACAATTGAGTTACTAGGAATGAAGCAGGCTTCTCTGCAGAAGCCCTTTTTGCTAGCTGGCCTGGTTGCCATGGCAACAGGCGGTGGAGGGGGGGCAGCCAGGAGACTGCAGGAACACAATCGCGGGCCTCTTTGCTGTATTGCGAAAAGAGGGCAAAGGTTCTAGATTAATGGCACGTGGGTAAAAACGTGAAGAGGGGGAGAGAGACAGACAGAGGCGATGGCATGGCAGACGGAGCTCTGGATTTCTTCAGAAGCTGGCCCAGCCTCCAGCTGCAAACCCAGGCAGAGTTTAAATTTTGGTTGCATAACAGAGAGGAACAAAGGGAAGGGGGTGTGTGTATGGGTGGATGGGGCCGAGATAGGGGTGGGAGGGATTAGGAAAGAGGAAAAGAGGAATCCTGGCCCTGAAAGCCACCAGGCACAGAAGCCATTCCACACATGAACCTACAAAACTTCAACCAAATCACCCACCATCCATCTGAAGTCACGCAGTTAGCTGCGCCTGGCCCTTGACGTAACCCAGACTGGAAAACTGCTCAACTGCCTAAAGGGCCCCTTGATTCTTTCTGTGTCAGGGCTGCCATTTTGAAACTGTTGAACTTTGTTTTGTTTTGATACCAGGAATTGAACTCACTACTTCATGCTTGCCAGGAAGGTGCTGGGCTGCTGAGCTATACCCGGGGCCCCAAAACAGTTGAACTTTGGACCCCAGTAAAGGAGGATTTCAATTTGGGGGATAGCAAGGAGGTAAGGATGAAGCTCAGGGGAAAGCTATTTCAACACTTTAGGGAGTCGAGCTGGTCATCACCTGAGTGTGCACTTGATAGCAGATGCTCCCCATTGTGCTGACAAGCTTTGCCCCCTCTGTGCCACTCGCCCCTCCCCCTGCACACACCCCAGGCCCACCACCTCCCACCCTTCTGGCCTCAAACAGTGTTGCTCAAATTTGATGGTGGCTAGGAGTAAAGTTCGTCAAAAATTTCCATTTTTGCCTTGCTTTCAGGAATTCTGATCTCATGGCTGGAGTAGGCATGCTCTGAGAACTGACAGTTTGAACAAGTCCAACAGTAATTTTCTGCAGGTAGCCTGCTGAACGGCCTTTGACATCTCCACAGTCTCTACTTTTCCCCCTGTACTTCCTCTGGCCACCTCCAGCTTTCGGTGACTTCTGCTTTCTCTCAGGTGTGCCCTGGGAGTCCCCACAGCACCATCAGCAGGTGGCATCTCCCCAGCTATATCCCTCACTGCCCAGCTCACCCAGCAGCTGGCAGAGCCATACCCTGCTTTAGTAAGGCCCACCACCAGTGCCTCTGCTCTGTTGTAAATGGTTCTGACTCGTGACCAGACACAGGCTTAAGACTGTGGGCTTCGAGCAGGGCCAAGCCAGCTGTCCCAGCATTAGCAGGGAACTGTGATGTCTGGGGTCCTTTGCAGAAAGAAGGGACTGGAGCAGAGATGCATCCCATTTGTGGGCTATTCTACTTACCTACCTTGGTTTTCCTATCTGTAAAAGGGAGAGACCAAGTGCATATCAAAGAGCTTCAGCAAGTTCAAGGTCCTCCTAAGCTTGAGGTCAGGCCTGAGGCTTGGCCCGGGATTGGAGGTGAGTCTCTGGCTCCTCTTTCCTCTTTTGACAGTAAGGCTCATGTGGGCAGCACTCCTGCTGCCCCCTGTCCTGCTTGCTGTTCCCTGGTTATCACTGTGATCCAGAACTCCAATCATAAGGCACAGGGACAGGATGTACCCTCTGGGGAGGGGAATAAAAAGACTTGGCCAAGGCCAGGCTTCTGGTTGGTTGGCCAAGTGGAATTTGCCTCCTGATCCATGGAGAGGCTTTTTTTTTTTTTTTTTTTTTTTTTTTACTTTTTTTTTACTTTGAACTTTGGTGAATGCTCTTTCCTGACCCTGGCCCTTGATCACGCCTGTGCTATGGGTGTTTACAGACTCTGAAGACTCACATTGTGCATTTTTTTGTTTTTTTGTTTTTTTGTTTTTTTGTTTTTTTTTTTTGCAGAACTGGGGATTGAACTCAGGCCCATGCACTTGCCAGGCAAGTGCTTATTCTACTGAGCCATCTCCCCGGCCTCTAACATCGTGCTTTCATGGAAACCTCTCAAGCAAAATGGTCAGTACTGTGCTTAATTAAGTGGCTTAGAGGGCTCTGGGTGGCAACTCAGACACTGTGTCAGAAAGCTGGTATTCTATCCACAGAGCTTTTTGAAGTGGAGATTGCGCCCAGGGCCTTGCACATGCCAGGAGAGCATTCCACCATTCCACCAGTGGAATATGGCTATACCCTCTATGCCATACCTATAGGTTTTGGGAAGTGGCCACACTCCTCTGGCATCTAGAGCACACCACCCCTCGCCAAGCACAACATGGATCTGAGATCTACTTTTTCTTCACGGGTATGAAAAGATCATCCCATTTATTGGGGCCATGCTGGGAATGGGTTCCCGCTCTGGGCAGAGGTTTACAGAGCATGACCTTGGAGATACACTGTGACCTTGGAGATTCCTTAAGCCTCTATGTGAAGGAGAGGAAACCTGAGTTGGAAGTGTCAGGGACCCGGAACAAGGTCCTGAGAGTCGTGGGCAGCACAGGCTCCTGGGCAGGAATGTGGGGAGCTGCGCCAGCATGAGAAACCCATGGGCTAAGCAGACACCGCCCAGGGCTGGGGAGGGCGTCATCATGGAAGACGTGCTCTCCAAGGTCGGTGGGAGCTGGCTAGGCTTGGCCAGGCTCACCCTGCTCACAGCAGTCTGGCTGGATCCCAACATCCTACTACCCGGGAACTTGAATCAAAGCCCTCACCTCCCTGAGCCTCTGTGTCCACAGCTGTCAAGTGGGGATGCTAGTATGCACTTTTGAGAGATTTGCTGTACACATGCTACACATTGTGGAGCACGTTCAGCAGCTGCTTAGGGTCTGGTTGGTGCTCAATAAGTGGCATTAACCCCGGGCCAGTGGAAGCACATCATAGGAACTCAGTAACTGATTCTACAGAACAAGGAAAGGTCTTGGAGGCACTGATGCAGCCTGCTAGGGCAGCTCAGTCCTGAGCTCTGGCTCTGTTGTAGGTGCCCTGAGGTTCTAGGTTGCTCACTTTCATGATTTTTTAATTTATTTATTTATTTATTTTGTGTCTGTGTGTGGCCAGCTCAGCCCACCAGGGGGCGGGGCTGGCTGGCTGGCATGTGGTGCTGGGGGATTGAACCGCGGTCCCTGTGCTTTGCTTAGCTTGTTCTAAGTAGGTGCTTTAGACCACTGAGCCATCTCACCAGCCCCAACTTTCATCATTTTTTAATTTTATTTTTTTGAGAAATAAATATCAATGAGACAGTTTCAAAACTGATTAATAGGACAGTTTCAATAATTAATACATTGTACATTGCTATCTTCCTAGTGGTTAGCCATAGTACAAGATGCAGACAGAACATCTTGTCCGAACACTATTAGCACAAATCTTTCTTCTCATTGAATTAAGTGAAAGTAGCTGTATATCTATCCTAACTATTTTGCATATACAGATACAAAATGGTCCTTCCTTTGTATCCCCTTTAGGTTGTTCACTTTTAGAAGAGCCAGGTTGGATGAGACGTGCGACTGCATCACTTGCAGCAGCAAGGGGCCTCTCATCTCGGTGGTCCTCCCTTGCCCTGCAAGAATCACATCTTCCTGAGTAGCCCTTGAGCAGCCATATCTGTACCCACACCAGGACAAACCTCTTTCCATTGTGTTCAGTTGTGAAAGCCCTGAAAACATGTAAACATACATAACCTCGGACAAGCGACAAAGTCCTTCTCCTGCAGTGACCAGCATAATGTCCTGAAATGACTGCCGTCCAGTTTCCAGATAGACTCTTACCTAAAACTAGACTCTGGAACTCCAGGCCATCTCACCCGAGGGATCCTAGCTCTTTTGTCCCCTACTGCCTTCTATCTAAGCCCAAGCTTCTTAGCTCCAGCCTATCTTTCAGGAATACAGGATGGTTTCACCCAGAAAATGCCCCTTACTATCTGCATTTGGCAAAACCTTAATGGGGAGGCAAAGAGAGGAGATGGCTAACACACACTTTCCCACAGGGCTTCCAATACTCGGGGCCTTAGAGGGTTTCCTGTGGGAGCCATGACTTCCAGGGGAAGGATTGAAGTGACTTTCTAGAGCAGGGGTGGGAGTGAAAGTGGCACACGGACAAGTGAACATGGAAGAGAACCACATTCTGACTGGTTCAGAAGTTTGAAAGTGCCCAGCGCTTACCAGGATTTGTGCAGTTTTGCTTGTAAAATAACTATTATTGCCAGAAAAAAATATGTCTAATCACATGCCTATGAAGGTGATTAAAAGTACTGCATGACATATATGTTTACTTTTCTAGAATCTTAAGGGCTTACAAAGATCAAGCTGGAAAGACAGGTTGAGGCTAGATTTTGAATGCCCTTGCATGCCAGCCGCAGGAGATCCATTTGTTCTATAAACTTCACTGTACCTGATATGAGAAGAGAAAATATGAACTCAGCCTCCCTCCTTGACAACAGCCAGTCTGGATGGGGGCAGAGCTGTCTGAGAGCCCTGGAGGAGATCTTTGGAAAAAGCTTGGTAGCTCCAGATTCCTGGCAGAGTGGAGGATCTATTTCTTTTAAACAGTGCCAGGAAAAACAAAACAAAACAAAAACCAGTGAGGCTGCAGAAAGAGGAGGGTTGCATGAGAAGAGTCCTGTAATTCTTTATCAACCATGTACAGCATGACAACAATGTCAACACTTTTTGTTGACTTGACTTTTAGGCCCCAGCTGCAGACCAAAGGAAATATATTCAGGATGCAAGTGCTATTAGGCTCAACAACTAAAATACAGAAGTAGAGATGGCAGAAGTTGGAGTTAGCAATGGAGGCAGGGCCAAGGGAAGGCAAAGCAAGGTTACTACCCTATACAATAATAAGTGATACTGCCTACAGATTGGGCATGGTGGTGTATGCCTGTAATCCCAACACCTGTCGTAGGTTGAGGCAGGAGGGTTGTAAATCAAAGGCCAGCCTGGGCAATTTAATCACTTAGCAAGACCTTGTCTAAAAAAGTAAAAACTAAAGGGCTGAGGATGGAGTTCAGTGTGAACGGCCTGAGTTCAATCCCCAGAACTGGGGAAAAAGAAAAAAAGACTAATAAGAATACAGTTTATGGATCAAAAACCAAAAGTCTGAGGATGCTTTCTTTTCTTTGCAGGGCGGGGGGGGATGGTGGAATGAACAGAAATCAAATCAGGACTTCACACTTGCCAGGCAGGCAGGTACTGCAGCACTGAGCTAAACCCCCACCTCTAAGGTTGTTTCTTAAGTTAGCAAGATGACAAGAGGAACAACATAAATAATTATGTTGGAAAAGTGTGAATAAGGGAGGTGAGCTGTGGTTTAAGAAGTTCAATTTTGAGGTAATAGCTAAAACATCAGGTATAGGCTGAAGATAGCCATAAAAAAAGCGACTTACCAGCTTGGAAAGAAGCATCGCAACAGGTCAACTTCTGTCTGGGCAGCGCAGATGAGAGGTGGAGGGGAGGGGAAAGGAGAGGAAATGTGTTGTCCGTGTCCCCCATGAGTATAATTTCAATTGAGACGTCTACAGTTACTATTGTTTAAGCACTGGGAGCCAGTCAGTGAGTTAGTTCTTTGGTCAATGACAAGGGTGTATTAGTATTAAAAAGGAGGTTTATAGGGCTGCGTATGTAGCTCAGTGCTGACGGGTAAGATGGCAGAGGTGGTTGACTTTGGATACAACACAGTTGGAAAGATGCAAGGAACAAATAAGGAAGCTTATCTTCACTGCTGTCTCCATCCTTCCCATTTTCCAGAAGTAAACATCCTCCTACCTTTCTTCCTAGAACATTTCATGTACATCCTGGCAAATATGCATACACACTATGTACCTTCTCGCCCACATCCCATCACAATTAGTTGAAAGACAAGTAGCGTTGTAGACATATTATTCTGTACCTTGCATTTTTCTTGAGTTTCCTTGTTGGTGTATGTTAATAACTGAATCATGTCCATGTGTGGATGTAGGAATAAATGACAGGCCTATTTCCACAGTTTCAATAACTGTGTATCATCAAACTTTTTGATTAAATACATAGGTGAGAGATGCTTTGTCAGCCAAGTTTTAAATTGTATTTCTTTTATGCATGGATAAACTTTTCAGATCTTTAAGAAGTATTTTTTTTTCTAGAAACTGAGATTCCTCTTTTGCCCATTTATTAATTAGTAAGAACTCTTTATTAGATCAAGTCCTTTGACCATAGTTGCAAATATTTTCCTCTAGTCTATCATTTGCTTTTACTAGTGTTTGCCACACATCAAGTTTTTGTTTTTCCTGATACTAAGGACTGCCCAGGGCCTTCAAACAGTTATATCTCCAATATTTATTTTTTTTTTATTTTGATACAGTGTCATGCTAAGTCACTCAGTTGTGCAAACTAGGTTTAAACTTGCAATCCTCCTGCTCAAGCTTCCTAGAGTGTTGGGATTACAGGTGTGGGCTACCATACCAGCCTTGACATATGACATTTAAAATATTTTTTATTTTTAGACAGGGTCTCACTCTGTAATTCAGGTTGGTCTTAACCTCACTACATAGCCCAGGTTGCCTCAGACTCCTGGCAACCCTTCTTCAGCCTCCAGAATGCTGGGATTACAGGTGTAATTACAGAGGGAAACTGGGGATTGAACTCAGGCCCTTGTGCTTGCCAGGGAAGCACTTATTCTACTGAGCCATCTCCCCAGCCCTGGCATCTTAATTTTTAATGTAGATAAATTTGAAATCTTTTCACCTATACCTTCTAGGGTTTGTATTATCACTCAGACAGGCCTTGTGGAGATTAGGGTCATAAATTCTCCTGTAGACTTCTGGGAGTTCTCTTTTTCTTCAAAGAAAATATTTTATCCATCCAGAATTTTTTTTTTAATTTTTTAGACAGGGTCTTACTGGTCTTGAACTTGTGGGAATCCTCCTGCTTCAGTCTCCTGAGTACTGAAATTATATGTGTACAGCATCATGCCTGGTTCCATCCAGAATTTGAGTGCATACTGTTAGCATGAAGTGTGTATACAACTTACATCTCCCCCCCCCCATGCATTGTGAGATTTTTTGGGGAAGGAGGGTAGTGTCAGAGAGGCAAGGCAATGACCAGGACAGTAAATGAAGAAACATAGTGTCCCTCCATAGGCAGTAGAGCAGAAACTGAAGTTGCCATAGACAGGAAGTGGTCCAGATCACTCAGGTGAAAGGGCACCCAACTGTGTCTGAACCAGGGTCAGGACAGGCAGAAAACTGAAGAGATCTTGGAAGCAGAACCCATAAGACTTGTCAGTTTTCAGGGGAAAATTAAAAGATGTAAGATGTCTGTTTCCTGATGCTTTTCCTCTGTGAAGTTATTAATGGCAAAGAGGGGATTCCTGTCTTAGGGGTTCTGTTACTCAATCTTCAAATCCCCATCACCTGGTAGGAAGCGCAGGTGGGATTCTCACCACCAACCAAAGAGCCAGATTTCAAACTCTGCGCCCTCTGAGTCTCTTTGGTCCAGCTCTCACCTCCTGCCTGGCTGCTTCCAGCACCCAAGCAAGGGGGCCTCCAAATTGCAGCGCTCGGTAGTCAGGTTGGAGGGACCCTGGGCCACCGCTGAGATCACACGAGAGCCGCGGCCAGCGACAAGAGGCCTCACGAGGTGGCTCACAATCATGGTTTCACGGCGACCCAGAGAGTGGGCTCAGAAATACAATCTAAGGTCAGGGAAGAAAAACCACTACCAGGGAGTAAGTAACCCGCCCCGGAACTAAGCAGCCGGCCAGGGGGCGGGGCCATTTGGCAGGGCGTGAGGGCGTGGCCAGATCGGGTTGTACCAAGAGCTAGAGTTCGTAGGGGGAATCAAAGTGGCCAACTCGTCTATGGAGCGTACACAAGGCTGAGATGGATGGGGCGGTGGCCAAGAAGGCCACTCCTACCCTCCTGCGACCTGGCGGGTAGTGGTTGGCGCCTCGGTGGTGCGGGCCTGCGTTCTGCCCAAGTGCTACAGAGAGCTGTCGGGTCTCCCGCGGTGAGTGAGCTCTCAGGGAGAGTCGGGTGGGTGAAGTGGGGTCCCCAGGGTCCTCGGGACGCCTCTGTCCAAGCTGCCTCCCGGTCCTCGGCACTGGGGAAGGCTTTCGGGCCGGGTCGCGGCGCGTCTCGCTAAACGCTCAAGCGGAAGGCGCGTCTTCCACCTCAGCCCTTCCCGGAGTGGCCTTTCCCCCTCGAACTGATTTCAGGCGGTGGCTGGAGGTTGGTCGTTTTCATATCCCCGGGACGAGAGCGCTCGGCAGGCCCGTTGGCCGAGAGTCGGGTCTTGGTGTCTGAGGGCTCTGGCTCCAGCCCTCTCGTCCGCCCTTGCGTTAAGTCACTTTAAGTCTCCGGGCTTCAGTTTCCCCATCTGTACGATGGGATTATGTAGCGGTGAATTATAGAGATCATGCAAAGATGCGCTCAGTGAACGTGGATGGGACCCGAATCTGATCGTGCTGCATCAGGTGGGGTGAATCCACGGCGCCCCGGCATCGCGTTGCCTGCGTTCCTGAGGCAGTGCTCCCTCAGGCCGGTGCGCTGCGACACACCTTTGCCTGGCTCCCCTGGGCAGCGGTGACACCCTGGGCTTGGGGGAGCGATGGGTAAAAGGTTGAGGTCTTGGGCAGCGGAGTTGGGGGATGGAATGGGGGTGGACTTCTGGGTTACCTGACCTCAACTTTTTGCTTTTCGTGTTTTCAAATCGAGTCATCATTGTGTAAGCTACTGGCCAGTGCTGGGGAGTTTGGATTCATTTCCGTGAAAACGACTGCCTCCTTTCTTAGACCCATAAAACTGCAGTCTTCTCTTTGAGACTCACCGAACCAGAGAATAACGCGAGCACAAAAAAAGTCTAGATTGATGTCCAGGGGTCCAGGGTTTCAATCTTAGCACCTTGACAGGATACATAACTTCTTGGGCCCACTGTTTTGTTGTTGGTGACACAGGCCTCTGCCCCCACAGAGCTGAGCTGTTAAGGATCAGGACAGGGTTTCAGAGAGTGGTGTTGAGAGTTAAATGTTCTTTGTAAGCAAAGGAGTTACCTAACTAACTCTCTGGGATCTGCTGTCCTCTACCATGCTGTATCTCTTATGCCTTGTCTACAGAGAAGCCTGAGGTTTATTAAAACTCTCTCAGAGGAAATCTCCCGAGAGTGGTGATATTTGGGAAGACAGGCCAGTGTGACCAGTTAGTAAACAGGGAACCCAGAAGGGCCCACTTTCTTAAAATCGTTCTAAAGACAGTCTCATTTTCTTTTTGAGACTGTCGTTCTTGACTT